TTGTTGCCAATACAACAAAAACCAGCGTTGACTGAAGAGAACTATACGGAGTTTTGGAACTTTGTGTTAGATAACACTTCATTTTTCAAGATAGGAATCCCTTCTGTACCCTGTTAGGTACAAGAGAGCTGGAGGTGGTTAAAGTAAACATTAATATTTTTTTATGATGTACTGGGAATAAATGTTGGAAGTTTGAAAGCAGAAACTGAGTCTGTGATGAATGACCTTGAGGTGTACAACATTCCTGATCAGGAGAGTGAACATGGTCAGATGAGTGCCTGAAAACAAGTTACCCCAGGAACTCTATGCATCCCATGAAGAAGGTAGGTAGCATTTCAGTGTACAAAGCAAGCAGGCTAAATTGAAGGCTGATAAAGTGTGAGTCATGCACTAGCAACTTCAATTATCGTCACTATGTTCTAACAACTTACTTACTCTGTATATTTTATATTATGTTTTTATCTTTGAATTCTCGGGTCTATAACTGTATAATAAAATGTAACCTTAACCTTAAATTGTCACAGACTATTATTGCCACCTGTTAATATGCCATACACTATTGGGAAATTAATTACATATTAGCACAGCTTTCCCCACCTATCTGTGCCGTTTTACTAGATGCATAGCTTTCACTTTCTTTTTCCTTTACAAATGTTAACTCATTCTTGAAAATGTATTTTCTACAAATCAGTCCAAGCAAACTGTTACTTCCTCTTTTGATTAAATGAGAATAATTGATTGATATTAAAGCTAAGGCCATTTAACTACAAAAAGCCAACACTAATCCCACAAAAAGGGCCAAACATTTAAAAGCAAAGCAAAGGGTGCTGCTTATATACCGCCCCCATGTTGCTATTACTGACTTGTGGTGACCCTTCCAAGTGTTTTCCAATATAATGTTGGATAGTGAACTATCCCACACAGCTTTGCAGTGCTGCTGCTTATATACCGCCCCATAGCACTTCAAGCACTCTCTGGGTGGTTTACAAGTTAATGACGCAGGCTACACACTGCCCCCCTCCCCCAGCAAGCTGGGTACTCATTTTACCGACCTCTAAAGGATAGAAGGCTGATTACCTGCACTTTAACAGCAGATACAGGCAGAAGAGAGAATGTGTTTTATCCACAGGTTATAAGACCTCACACATTTTCCTATTTACAAAATGCTGACTGACATTCTGCTTGCTTTACTGCTGTAAACAAGTCCAAGACACATTTCCCAAAAGAGATGAATGGACAAAGTAGAAAGCAGTGCTCAACAAAAGGATACGTGTTAGTATTAATACAAAAGGCAATCATGTACATGATGAGGGTTGAATTTATAGTGGTTGTCTAAATATCTTAGGTTACTATCTTTATTAGGCCAATTTAAAGCACAAATTAGTATGCAGGCTTTTGAGATCTCCAGAATTCACCTTTGGGCAGGCAGTGAAAAACAAAAACAAAACAAAAAGATGGGTGACTGGTGGACACTCTCAGTATGGCCTGTAGTCAGATTTATTTTCCAGTTCCACTATGTCTTTTTTTTAGGTGTGGTGACCAGAATTGTATGCAATACTCCAGGTGCGGCCTCACCAGCGTTTTGTATAACAGCATTATAATGTTGGATAGTGAACTACCCCACACAGCTTTGCAGTGTTGTAGATGTAGTCAGATTTCAGATCAAGTAAAGGAAGAAGTTGCAGATATTTGTACAAGCACCTACCCTTGCTTTGATGTTTCGGGGTTACAAACAGAAATGCATGTAAGACTACTAAGACAAACAGCGGTTGAGACCTCGTTTTTTAAAGTATGACACCTAGCTACTTCTTATGACTGCCTTCTTGACAGGCAAACCCCAATATGTGGAAAACAAAAGCTGAAAAGAAACCAGCCACCTTATATACTCAGTTATTTGATGGTATATTCTTTAATGGACACCATGTGTCCGTTGTCCCAGGTCATAGTACAATACTATGACTACAAACAAGAGCACAGGATCAATTCACTGAATATGGAAGATATTATAGTAGGATCTCCCTATCTATTGGTTCACTTATCCACTGCCTGAAAACATTAAATAACACCCACCAGGATACATATTTACATTTCTAAGATATTTTACCAGAACAGTCCACTAGAGGGAACCACAGCACAGACTAACAACATACTGGGTAAAGAAATATTTTCTTTTATCTCTTCTCATTCTTCCAACACTCAATTTGAATGGATGTCCCCTGGCCCTGGTTTCGCGTGAGAGAAATGAACTTCCCTCTATCCACTTTATCAATCCCCAGCATAATTATATACATCTACGGCAAGGGGAGGAGAAAGAAGGAGGCGGCCCCGTCGGGAGGAGGCTCGGCTCGGCTGCAGCTCCCCCTCCCCTCTCCCCCGTGCCCAGCAGCGCCTCCTAGCGGCCCGAAGGAAGCGCTGCCGCTCCCCTCAAAACACGGCTCCTAGGCAGCTACTACTACAGTATTTGTTCAGGCTGTTAGCCCGCCTTTGGAGCCCTGCGCGGAACCACAACAGCCTTTCCATTTCGGCTTCCGTAGCCCCTTGTAAACCAATGGCCACAGATACGTATGGATTTCCCGTTTACGATACGCAGGCACATGTAAGGGTTTTCATCAAAATAAATACATAGATTTATTAAAAATGATTGGTTATCGAAAGTACTTTACATTAATAATACTTATGTCAAAATATAAATACAAAAGTAGCAGTACACACACAGACACACCAACCGTTTTTTTATAAATATACTGTATATCTACACAGATAGGTACTTGTATATTTTCTCTCACTCCCATAAGAGAGAGAGTAAATATATTAGTAAGCATCTTAATATATTATTATTTACATTAAATGTTATTAAGTACTGTACATTAATAATACACACAAAGAGAGAGCGTCGAAAAGAAACCAGTCAGTTCCTATATCAAATTCAACATGATTTTAATTTTTCTGATGGCCAACATGGCTATCTTTGCTTTGAAGAATACTGAATGCACTATTCACTGGGATTCTACCCTAGCGGAAAATAATTTTATTTCACCTAAAACCAGGATTAATTGTTGCCAATACAACAAAAACCAGCGTTGACTGAAGAGAACTATACGGAGTTTTGGAACTTTGTGTTAGATAACACTTCATTTTTCAAGATAGGAATCCCTTCTGTACCCTGTTAGGTACAAGAGAGTTGGTGGTGGTTAAAGTAAACATTAATATTTTTTTAAAGATGTACTGGGAATAAATGTTGGAAGTTTGAAAGCAGAAACTGAGTCTGTGATGAATGACCTTGAAGTGTACAACATTCCTGATCAGGAGAGTGAACATGGTCAGATGAGTGCCTGAAAACAAGTTACCCCGGGAACTCTATGCATCCCATGAAGAAGGTAGGTAGCATTTCAGTGTACAAAGCAAGCAGGCTAAATTGAAGGCTGATAAAGTGTGATTCATGCACTAGCAACTTCAATTATCGTCAATATGTTCTAACAACTTACTTACTCTGTATATTTTATATTATGTTTTTATCTTTGAATTCTCGGGTCTATAACCGTATAATAAAATGTAACCTTAACCTTAAATTGTCACAGACTATTATTGCCACCTGTTAATATGCCATACACTATTGGGAAATTAATTACATATTAGCACAGCTTTCCCCACCTATCTGTGCCGTTTTACTAGATGCATAGCTTTCACTTTCTTTTTCCTTTACAAATGTTAACTCATTCTTGAAAACGTATTTTCTACAAATCAGTCCAAGCAAACTGTTACTTCCTCTTTTGATTAAATGAGAATAATTGATTGATATTAAAGCTAAGGCCATTTAACTACAAAAAGCCAACACTAATCCCACAAAAAGGGCCAAACATTTAAAAGCAAAGCAAAGGGTGCTGCTTATATACCGCCCCATAGCACTTCAAGCACTCTCTGGGTGGTTTACAAGTTAATGACGCAGGCTACACACTGCCCCCCCCCCCAGCGAGCTGGGTACTCATTTTACCGACCTTAAAAGGATAGAAGGCTGATTACCTGCACTTTAACAGCAGATACAGGCAGAAGAGAGAATGTGTTTTATCCGCAGGTTATAAGACCTCATACACTTTCCTATTTACAAAATGTTGACTGACATTCTGCTTGCTTTACTGCTGTAAACAAGTCCAAGACACATTTCCCAAAAGAGATGAATGGACAAAGTAGAAAGCAGTGCTCAACAAAAGGATACGTGTTAGTATTAATACAAAAGGCAATCATGTACATGATGAGGGTTGAATTTATAGTGGTTGTCTAAATATCTTAGGTTACTATCTTTATTAGGCCAATTTAAAGCACAAATTAGTATGCAGGCTTTTGAGATCTCCAGAATTCACCTTTGGGCAGGCAGTGAAAAACAAAAACAAAACAAAAAGATGGGTGAATGGTGGACACTCTCAGTATGGCCTGTAGATGTAGTCAGATTTCAGATCAAGTAAAGGAAGAAGTTGCAGATATTTGTACAAGCACCTACCCTTGCTTTGATGTTTCGGGGTTACAAACAGAAATGCATGTAAGACTACTAAGACAAACAGCGGTTGAGACCTCGTTTTTTAAAGTATGACACCTAGCTACTTCTTATGACTGCCTTCTTGACAGGCAAACCCCAATATGTGGAAAACAAAAGCTGAAAAGAAACCAGCCACCTTATATATCTGCAAAATCCCATGTCCCAACTTCCTGCCTAACACAGTACCCAATGCTTCTTTCTTCCCATCTTTAGCGACTCGTTTCCTTCCCCTTGAATAACACATTCCTCAAGCCACCAGCGACTCCTTTTCCACAACTTGGGGCGCCCCCCCCCGATCAGCACCCCTTGCAGGGTCTCTTTTCGGGGCTGCCTTCCCTCCGCCATAAATCTGCTCGCCTTTCCTTCCTCCGCGCCCTGCCCTCGGCCAGATGACCTCACCAGCCTCGACCCCTGCCCCCGTTTCTTCTCTCCCCCAACCCTCGAGGCGCGCCGCGGGAGCAGCCCTTACCGGGGATGAGCTGCAAGTGGTTGCCCATGTTGTTCTCCTGTTCCCCGCTGCCTTCATCCGCGGCCATCGCTGTTTACCCGCAAAGGAGCCTGGGAAGGCGGCGGCGCCGGCAAGGGGAGGAGAAAGAAGGAGGCGGCCCCGTCGGGAGGAGGCTCGGCTCGGCTGCAGCTCCCCCTCCCCTCTCCCCCGTGCCCAGCAGCGCCTCCTAGCGGCCCGAAGGAAGCGCTGCCGCTCCCCTCAAAACACGGCTCCTAGGCAGCTACTACTACAGTATTTGTTCAGGCTGTTAGCCCGCCTTTGGAGCCCTGCGCGGAACCACAACAGCCTTTCCATTTCGGCTTCCGTAGCCCCTTGTAAACCAATGGCCACAGATACGTATGGATTTCCCGTTTACGATACGCAGGCACATGTAAGGGTTTTCATCAAAATAAATACATAGATTTATTAAAAATGATTGGTTATCGAAAGTACTTTACATTAATAATACTTATGTCAAAATATAAATACAAAAGTAGCAGTACACACACAGACACACCAACCGTTTTTTAAAAATACTGTATACTGTATATCTACACAGATAGGTACATGTATATTTTCTCTCACTCCCACAAGAGAGAGAGTAAATATATTAGTAAGCATCTTAATATATTATTATTTACATTAAATGTTATTAAGTACTGTACATTAATAATACACACAAAGAGAGAGCGTCGAAAAGAAACCAGTCAGTTCCTATATCAAATTCAACATGATTTTAATTTTTCTGATGGCCAACATGGCTATCTTTGCTTTGAAGAATACTGAATGCACTATTCACTGGGATTCTACCCTAGCGGAAAATAATTTTATTTCACCTAAAACCAGGATTATATTGTGATCGTAGAGACTCCCCAACTCCCCCCCCCCAATAAAAGGCTATCCAATTTGGTTTCTGTTGATTTTCTTTAAAAACCAAGCACATTATCTAAAGTTATCTCTGGCTTCAAATATTTTTTAATTATTTTAAATGAGAACTTGCCAGTTTCATGCTGGACAGTTCATTATCAGCCTCCAATTTCCCCTCTCTTTTCCCTTTTGAAGTGTACATTCATTCTTAGGCAACAAGAATTTCCATTTCAGCGAGGAAGTAAGACAGCCAAAAAAAAGAGGACACGTTCTGTCTCCCTTTTCTCCATGAGCCCACTCGCAGTTTTGCGCTGGGCTACGCAGGACGGAAATTTGTTCCTGTACTGTCAGTGCAGAATGACAGCAGCAGCAGGCTGGCAGAAGGAACTTTTAACTACTTTGCAGCAAACTGTAGTTCTGTTTTGACCACAAAAGTGGCACGCCCGTTATTCCATGGTTTGCGTGGAAATGAACAGTTTTGCGCATCACACAACCTATTCCACGATGCCCCTTCTGCAAAATCCCATGTCCCAACTTCCTGCCTATGACAGTGCCTAATGTTTTTCTTCCCATCTTTAACAACACGTTTCTTTCCCCCTTGAATAATACATCCCTCTCCTGTTCTTCTCCCCGCTCACTTTTTATTCAGTATCTGACAACATCCTTCTTTCCTTTTCTCCTGCTCCAGCTGTGTTTCCACTTCTTCTTTCTTATCTTCATATCTGGGCCTCCACCAGCAGCCCAAGTCCTTCCCCTTCCGTTTATCATTCCTTTTCTTTTAGAAGATGTCAACTCATCTTCTAAGTCACCACAGAGTCCCTGAAGGAAGCCAAGGGCTGCCATCTGGATTCCTGACCAGCTCATCTCTGGCTTAAGCAGCGCTGCAGACAGGAAGAAACGACCACTGGAGAAGCAGAGGGCGACTCCAGCTCCATCGTTAAACCTCCTTCCACTTCGAAATGCTACTTTGAGGGGAAGCAGCTATTCCTTAAGAAACCAAAAAAATTTTCCAGCCTCACCGCCCCTCCCCAAAGGCTTTGCCTTTTAAGGCCTTAGCAACCCTTCTTGCCAACGCCATCACCCTCCCGACAGGGCCCACCTTTCCAGTTACCCGACCCCTTTCCGGACCCCAACAGCTCCTGAGGTGGTCTCAGGCCCGCCTCTTCCCTCCCTTCTCGTCCCCTTTCATTCCCCCCCGCGCCACTCTCAATCCCATCATTCACCCTTCTAGTTTCCCTTCCTCTGCCACCCTTTCCCAGGGCTTTCGGGCTCTCCCCAAGGCAGACACACACTCCTCAAACGGCCTGCCAGGCCTCCTCCTCTTCCCGCCTCTAAGGCCC